AAGTGATTAGGAGTAGTTTCAAGTAAAAAAAAGTCATACCTACAAATGCCTCTATGATACCAGTGCAAGTGTAGCACACATACATTTCATAGATGTGTTTGGGACAAGTGTATATCACATAGTATATCATGTATCTCAATTTATATTACACACTCATTTTTCCTCAATATATGCTTGAGATAAATGGGCATACAATGTGATATTATACAAAAATATACATTGAAATATATACGGGATATAATTAGGGATATACAGATGGATCTCTCTTAATTAAACTCGAACTTTCAATATGAAGTTTAGCTCGAATACGCCTCCAATCATTTCCAAACACCCACAAAATTAACAATATTCAAATCCATTAAAATGTTTTCAGAAAAATCTAATATCGTTCAATCGAGACAAAATACAAATGCATAAATCAAAAAACTACAAAACAACGATTTTGAATATGATAATGATGGAGATGTATGAGGAAAATTTAAGACATTAATTTAAATGAAAGATCTTTCTACCTATGAGGTACGAATTAGCAACCTAAAATATAACATGGGTATGGGCTATTTAATTTAATGAGAAAGTGAACACAAAAGAGTGATATATGAAAAGAATGACTATATTCCACAAGCCTTAATTGTTTTATGCTATTTAATGAGTCCACTTGTCATGTAATGTCAAATTCTCAAACTAAATTGATAATATCATTATGAGAGTTTGAAAAAATAAAAAATACTATGTTAACTTCAAATATTTTCTTAAATATTACATAACAACTTTTGAATTGTAGAGATCGGTGCAAGATGGTTCAAACGCTATCCTCACAAACAATTTAGATGGAATGAGCATGAATTTTATTGTATATATTCAAAAATCTTATAAGAGTTTTACCAATTTTATCAAATCATTTCTAATTATATAGATTCATCACATGTTTCTAGATGGATTTGTAAGATGAATTAAACTTTTTTTTTCTTGATATAAAGGACTTGTGCAATATTTTATAAATCATAGCGTCAAGAAAAGAAAGGAATATTAATGTGAAAGGCATGGCAAAAAATTTGAGTCGAGCAATTCTAAATGAAATCATAATAAGAAAATCACATACAATTAAATGAGAAAAAATAAATTGTGTTTTGATGACTCTATATACTCATAAATATGAACTAGTGATTGAATTCGGTTTCGAAGTCTAACCATCATAGATAGGATCATAGAGGAGGTGATGATGTGGCACCTCTCTATGACCTCCATTCATATTTATTCTTTTTTTCATTATTTTTTTTTGACATTTTATTGTTTTATTTTCTAAATTTTCTACTTTTACTCATTTTTAAAAATCTGAAAGGTGAGTAAATATACTTAACTGCATGAAGAAGTTTAGGTAGAGGAAGTTGAGAAGGTTAATTTATCCTCTTCCGGTTTTTTTCCAAAAAGTTGTAACAGTAAAAAGTACTTAAAACAAATTAATTACATTATTTATTAATTCCTAAAACTGATCTCATCAAATAAACTTGCTTGCCTTTTCATCTTTCACTATTAAAATATCAATTTATGAACATATATAACATCAAACCTTTTTCATTTTCCATATATATATTTGAGCAGCATCAAATCTTTTTCATTGTCCACAATTCACATATTGCCTATATGAGATTTCCTTAAGGCGTAGTCTCTATAATTTCTACATGCATAGACTGCTTCAATCATATGTGGATTCTTTTATCTCAAGGAAATATTTCACAAATAACATGGTAATGCACTGTGACTAATTAATTCAAACTTTGTTAGTTTTTTTTCTATTATTTTCTCTATGTACTCAAGTCGAGGATCCTTGAAAATCGTTCATAGAAATAGAGACAAAATTTACATCTACTTTATCTTACTCAAACTCCACTTGATATTCTATGAATGAGCATGTTATGTCATTGTTGTATTCTTATTCTTTAATTGATCTTTATTTTAGTTTACAGGAAAAAGGTTAAAGTGATCAAGAAATTACGAAGGAGTGAAAATAATATGACTTGGAATTTCAGCAAATTTAAGGCACGAAGAAATGAAAGAATGAACAGTAAAATAATGAAAGCAATTTCCGTTGCCATATATATATTTGTTAATTTTTTTGCTTTCCATTTGTAATTTCGTCAGTTTATATTCTTCTCTCATCTCTTCTTTTTATTATTGCATGTAATTTCATTTATTAACTAGAGAAATATATATATATACAGCTGGGTGTTAGAAAAATAATGTGGCACCTTTTTTGGTCAATAATCCTATTTATCTTTCTTTTTTTTCTCAATTTTTTGACATTTTTTTATATTTTTCTACTTACTTATTTATTGTATGAAAAAATGAATATATCAATTACTAATCTTTTATTTATTGTTATACTTAAATGTCTCAAAATTTACTTCCACTCATTATTATTCTTTACTAAAAAAAATAAGTCTTAATATTTACTAATCCAATCTTTCAAGATATTTGTCTTTGTTTTTTATATTTTTTTTCCTCCTTCAATTTTGTCAAACACAATGGAGTAATACAAAAAAAAAAAAAAAAGAGACCGATTTGGTTGCTTTCCTAATAAAACTTAAACACCCAAAAAATATTTAATAGCTCATGAGTTTTTTTTGTCGTCATTATTTTAATTTTGTCCTTTTATTTATTTTAAAATTCTCACCTTCATAACTTATACCTATTGTACTTCTTCTTTTAATAATATCATTGACTCATTTTTAAAAAAAAAAATCATATTCATAACCCCCCAACTATTTAATTTCACAATTTAAGATATCTTATTGTATTTCTTCAATTTTATGTATATACATTCACATTTTTTTTTGTTTCATAAATTCCTACACAAGATTATTGTGTTTATTCCATATTTGAAGTAGAGATGTTCTTATATTATTGTTGTAGTATAAGATTTTTGACTCCATGAAGAATGTTCATAGATGTTGATAGAAGGAGAGTCGGACAAAAGCTCAAAAAAACTATGCATGGATTATCTATTTTTTTTCATCTACTTTTTTTTTATATTAAGGTCTTAAGAAAGTGTTTTGTTATTATTATAATTTTTTTTGCATACCTTCTCATGTGTTCTCTCTATAAAATTTCTTTAGTTTAGGTTCTTAGGAATTTTTAGTTGTAGTAAATTATATTTTTATTTAGGCGCACATTAGTGATTTGTAATTTTGTTAGAAATCTGTTAACTACGCTAATCGATGTTCAAAGTTTACGGTTGATGTTCAAGAGGAATGCATATTAAATATTGAAATACACACTTCTTAGGTGTTTTTTATGGTGAAGAGTCATTTACATTTTCTTTAAATTTGATCATTTCTTCTACTTTTAAAGAATTACAAAAGAAGATAGAGACGAAAATTAGCAATAGAAATTTATTTAGATGATAATGAAAAATAGGAAGAAAAGATTTATTTAGATGATGATGGAAAATAAGACGAAAAACAAGGGCAATGAAATGATTTAATATATAAAAAAAACTACTTATCTCTTTTTTCTCCTATTTTTAATTTTATGACTTTTTGTTTCTTTTCTTTTAATTGAATATAAGGAAGATTTATCAAATAGTTTAATAAAAGCAAGAAAAAAAATTCAAGTCCTTAAATATATTTATTCTAATTGTATTATATAATCATGTATTAACATCATAATAGATAATTATTTAAAAAATAAAAATAAATTAACATTTTACTTTGAAAAACATTTGATGATAAAAATGTAATTCACTTAAGCTCTAATTCCCAAAAAAAATTGTATTGTGATTTTATCATTTTGTTATTTTTATAGTTGATTTTTTTTATTTTTTTCTATCATGATTAATTTTAAAATAAATTTGCTGATATTTTTTTATAACTGCGCGAAGCGCGGCCAGATTATACAGAAAGCCATTTTTTTTTCCAATTTTTGTATCATACGCCGCTTTATAGCATTTGCTAGTTTAAATTCAATTATGAGTACCTTGGTGTTTGCTTCCTTGCAACTTGCAAGTGACATTCGAAAGTAAGGGTGTGTTTGATACAAAGGAAAATGTTGTTTTCCTGGAAATCAAGTAGACTTTGGACTTATTTTCTCATATTTGGTTGGAGAATAGAAAATATTTTTTGAAAAAGATTTTTGTGTGTTTGATTTATGAATGAAAAATATTTTGAGAAAATATCTTTTATTTACTAGAGAGTAGAAAATAATTTTTGAATTGAAACTGAAAATATTTTTTAAAAATAATCTTCAATTTTTTGGGGGGGAGGGTGGAGTGGTGGGGTGGGGGT